GGTGAGACAGGTGAGAGACAGGTGAGAGACAGGTGGGACACAGGTGAGACACAGGTGAGACACAGGTGAGACACAGGGGAGACACAGGGGAGACACAGGTGAGACAGGTGAGACACAGGTGAGAGACAGGTGAGACAGGTGAGACACAGGTGAGACACAGGTGGGACACAGGTGAGACACAGGGGAGACACAGGTGAGGGACAGGTGAGAGACAGGTGAGACACAGGTGAGTCTAAAATATCCCCAGGTGTGTCCCAGCCAAGCACAGGTGAGTCTGAAATACTCTCAGGTGTGCCGCAGGTGTGTCCCAGGTGTGTCTCACCTGTCCCCAGGTGTGTCAGGCACTCACCTCTGCTGCCCAGGTGAGTCCCCAGCTATTGGAGGCCCCCTCTGCACCCACCCCAGGTGTATCCCAGGTGTATCCCAGGTGCCTCCAGGTGTCCCCAGGTGTGCCCAGGTGTCCCCAGGTGTATCCCAGGTGCCCCCAGGTGTATCCCAGGTGTGCCCAGGTGTCCCCAGGTATATCCCAGGTGTGCCCAGGTGTATCTCAGGTATGTTTTTGATGCCCAAACCCGCCATTTTTAACCCTTTCAACCCCGTTTTTTTTGCGTTTCCCCTCTCCCACCAACCCCCAGGTGCCCCCCAGGTGTATCCCAGGTGTGCTCAGGTGTATCCCAGGTGTGCCCATGTGTATCCCAGGTGTGCCCAGGTGTCCCCAGGTGTATCCCAGGTGTGCTCAGGTGTATCCCAGGTGTGCCCAGGTGCGTCTCAGCTGCCCCCAGGTGTGTTTTCAATGCCCCAAACCGCCATTTTTAACCCTTTCAACCCCGTTTTTTTTGCATTTCCCCTCTCCCACCCACCCCCAGGTGCCCCCCAGGTGCCGCCCAGGTGTGCCCAGGTGCGTTACCTGCTCCAGGGCCTCGGCCAGGTGCCTGTCCAGCCTCCCCTCGCGTTTGCGCAGTTTGGCGCTGTCCCACTGCAGCCCCTCGAGCGTCGTCCCCATCTCCAGAACCTTCGTCTCCGCAGAGCCCGCCTTGTCCTGCAGCTCCGCCAGCTGGGCACGTACGGACAGGTGAGACACAGGTGAGACACAGGGGAGACAGGTGAGATACAGGTATGGATAGGTGAGACACAGGTGAGACACAGGGGAGACAGGTGAGAGACAGGTGAGACACAGGGGAGACAGGTGAGAGACAGGTGAGAGACAGGTGAGAGACAGGTGAGAGACAGGTGAGATACAGGTGTGGACAGGTGAGACACAGGTGAGACACAGGTACAGAGACAGGTGAGACACAGGTATGGACAGGTGAGACACAGGTACAGAGATACAGGTACAGAGACAGGTGAGAGACAGGTGAGACACAGGGGAGACACAGGTGAGACAGGTGAGACACAGGTACAGAGACAGGTGAGACACAGGTGAGAGGCAGGTGAGATACAGGTGAGAGACAGGTGAGACAGGTGAGAGACAGGTGAGACACAGGTACAGAGACAGGTGAAAGACAGGTATGGACAGGTGAGAGACAGGTATGGACAGGTGAGACAGGTGACACACAGGTGAGACACAGGTACAGAGATACAGGGGAGACACAGGTGAGAGACAGGTATGGACAGGTGAGACAGGTGAGACACAGGTGAGACAGGTGAGAGACAGGTGAGAGACAGGTGAGACACAGGTGAGACAGGTGAGACACAGGTGAGAGACAGGTGAGACACAGGTGAGACAGGTGAGACACAGGTATGGACAGGTGAGATACAGGTGAGATACAGGTATGGACAGGTGAGACACAGGTGAGAGACAGGTGAGACAGGTGAGATACAGGTGAGACAGGTGAGAGACAGGTGAGACAGGTGAGACACAGGTACAGAGACAGGGGAGACAGGTGAGAGAGGTGAGAAACAGGTGAGACAGGTGAGACACAGGGGAGACAGGTGATAGGTATGGACAGGTGAGACACAGGTACAGAGATACAGGTGAGACACAGGGGAGACAGGTGAGACAGGTGAGACACAGGTATGGACAGGTGAGACACAGGTACAGAAATACAGGTACAGACAGGTGAGATACAGGTGAGACACAAATGAGACAGGTGAGACACAGGTGAGAGGTGAGACAGGTGAGACACAGGTGAGACACAGGTGAGACACAGATGAGATACAGGTGAGACAGGTGACAGAAGTGACGCAGGTGTGCCCAGGTGACCCCCCCAGGTGTGTCCAGGTGTGTCCCAGGTGTTTCCAGGTGTGCCCAGGTGTTCCCAGGTGTGTCCCAGGTGTGTCCCAGGTGTGTCCCAGGTGTGTCCAGGTGTGTCCCAGGTGTGCCCAGGTGTGTCCCAGGTGTGTCCAGGTGTGTCCCAGGTGTTCCCAGGTGTGTCCAGGTGTGTCCCAGGTGTGTCCCAGGTACCTCCAGCGCCTCCCTCTGGTGTTTCTCGTGCAGGTGCTGAGTCAGCTCCTGCAGCCTCCGGTGCTCCCGGAGCAGCTCCCGGAGCAGCTCCCGCCCGGCCTCGCCCAGCTCGGCTGGAAAAAAACACAAAAAAAAATCCCAAAATTTTCAAAATTCAACCCAAAAATCCCAAATTTCCCAAATTCCCAAAATTTCCAGGAGATTCCGGGAAAAAATCCGGAAAAAATCGGGAGAAATTTGACCCAAAATTGAAGAAATTCGCCCCAAAAATGGCCCCAAAATTGAAGAAAATTTCACCAAAATTCTCCCAAATTCCAGGACCTCAAAAATCCCAAAATTCCCAAAATTCGACCCAAAAATCCCAAATTTCCCAAATTCCCCAAATTCCAGAAAATTACGGGAAAAAATCGCGAAAAAATTGGGAAAAATTTGACCCAAAATTGTCCCAAAATGGAAAAAATTCCCAAAAAATTCTCCCAAAATTCTCCCAAATTCCAGGACCTCAAAAATCCCAAAAATTCGACCCAAAAATCCCAAATTTCCAAAATTCCCAAAATTCCAGGAAATTCCGGGAAAAAATCGGGAAAAATTTGACCCAAAATTGAAGAAATTCGCCCCAAAAATGGCCCCAAAATTGATAAAATTCCCCCCAAAATTTTATCAAAATTCTCCCAAAATTCCAGGACCTCAAAAATTCCAAAATTCCCAAAATTCGACCCAAAAATCCCAAAATTCCAGAAAATTCTGGAAAAAAAATCTGGAAAAAATCGGGAAAAATTTGACCCAAAATTGAAGAAATTCCCAAAAATTCTCCCAAAATTCTCCCAAACCCCAGGACCTCGAAAATCCCAAAATTCCCAAAATTCGACCCAAAAATCCCAAATTTCCAAAATCTCCAAAATTCCAGAAAATTCCAGAAAAAAATCCAGAAAAATTTGACCCAAAATTGACCCAAAATGGAAAAAATTCTCCCAAATTGGAGCCTCCAGGTGTCCCCAGGTGTGTCCCAGGTGTCCCCAGGTGTGTCTCACCTGTCCCCAGGTGTCCCCAGGTGTCCCCAGGTGTATCCCAGGTGTCCCCAGGTGTCCCCAGGTGCCCCCAGGTGTATCCCAGGTGTCCCCAGGTATCCCCAGGTGTGTCTCACCTGTCCCCAGGTGTATCCCAGGTGTGCCCAGGTGTATCCCAGGTGTCCCCAGGTGTGT